ATCGTCCAGTACAGAAGAACAGACACCAGCATCGTCCAGTACAGAAGCTATCATGTTACAAATGTAAGTTATAAATTACTGTTCCCATCAAGCACAAAGTATACCCAGCAAATAAGAACCGTATATGTGTCAGTAATATAACATCGATATGTAATGTCAGCTCAACCATATTTACACAGTTACATAACAAACCACATAAATGTGCTGACATTACATATCGTTATTATATTACTAATACATAAATATATATAGTTCTGGTTTGCTGGGTGTAGTTTTAAAAGTAGCACTATATAGTTTTATGCTTTCAGACGTCGTCTAGAAGCCCAGGTAGCCGCACTGAAAAAACCAAAAGACGATAAAGAACTCATGGAACAAAAAATGACGGAGTTATTGGGAAAAATGTTTAGTCCAGGACAAATACGGATGATATTGAATCCTTCATTGCGGAAAATAAAGTGGTCTTCTGAAGATATCGCACGTGCTATATCCTTGCGATGTGTCAGCCCAAAGGCATATCGTTATATGAAGAATGTTTTGCAAATGCCACTTCCAGGCCTTTCAACACTAAGAAGGCAAATCGAACGAATCGATCTTTGTATCTCCTCTTAGCTGTGATGTCGAAGAGTCCGTGTTAACAGATATGCTTGCGTCCTATGTTGACGAAAAAGTTACTACTATAACTAGTTATGAAGAAGAAGAGATATGTTTTGATGAAGCATATGAACCTTCTGCGTTGGATTCGTGCGCAATTATTCCAAGTTATGAGGAAGAACAGTTGTTACAGAAATTAGAAGATTTTAATATTAGCGAGGCTATCGAAGAAGAGGGTTTAAAATATATAGCCGGATACGTAGCATTTAGATTTAAAAGCACAGATAAAACATTAGGTATTGAAACGCGCCAATTGGAAACAACGGGTGACCAAGATTGGCTGCAAGTTATTTCGCGAGGAAAATGTATGTATCCGAGTGACAAATTATTACAATGTGCTCGTATAATGAATATTGAGTTTGCTAAATATCACGGATCCAGTTTGAATAAAGAAAATCTTATATTTCAAAACTTAGCAAAAATAATAGAACCACAATTGAAAATTAAAATACCGAGAGAGGCATTACTATGCCTCATTAGGACTAGGACATATATTAGGCTGCGCGAAATGAACCGAGCGATTGCAATCGCAAATCACAGGCAAAAAAGAAGAAAGATGTCAAAATTTACTAATAAAAAACCTGTATATTAAATATTTGCATTTATTGTTATTTGATCTTTTATCTGCATCTTTCCTCTGCATATATAGTTCTTTATGTCGTACGCCACAATATATTTTTGTTTTGCGTCTCAGCTGACAATTCTTTTCCAATCGTTTTCCGACCAGTTTTGATTAAAACTAATAATTCGCAGAATTTTAATAATAAATGACTGGAAATTAAAATCTCGTTTTATGTGAAATTTTTCCGTACGTCGCAATGATTTTTATTCAATGCACACAATTCTTTTTTTCTTAATAATAATAATATTTTCTGTAATATCATATATTTAGACAAATCCACATAAAATAATTATAAAATTCGTCAAATAACAATAACGTTTCTAACATCTACAACGAGAGACAAATTCGGGAAACGATGAGCGTTTATCCGTATGTCACGTGCGTTTTTTTATATTTATATATTTTTGTTCATATATATTTATTTATTTATAAAACAGAATTTTCTCTCACATAAATGATCAACATTATTTTGTATTCACATATTGTCCGCTCAAAATGCTTTTATAAATGACTATTATAGATTCGCTGCTTAAATGTGCCGCTCAGTGTGACGTAAGGTTGGAAAAGTCGCTGATTGGCTGGGTTCGGAAATATGCGCAAGAGCATACCCTTGTATTTCTACCATGCGATATCCTTGTGCCTGTCAAATGGATGATAATGGCAGCGACGATGGTTGATACGATGGTGCAGAGCAATGGCTTTCAGACAAAAAAGAAAGAGGACATCGAGAATAAGGACAACTTGTGGTACGTGCCGTAGCCCGCGCGACGTTAACCGTAATATATTGAGATCACGCCGCGAAACGGCCGTTTCGTTTTTTGAGAGAATGAGAGCGAGCATGAGATGCGCTCTTCGCGTGACACATCTTTGCTGCGTGAGAAAAATTACGCGTTTGACTCGATCGTGCCTCACTCGACATTTATCGTATGCTTTGCAGGTCGTCTATCCTGGCGGAAGTGCAAAACAGCGGTAACAACAAGCTGCCGTCGAACAAAAACGTCCTCGTTCTAGGTAAAATACTCGGCACGGGTCCCCGATCGCTCGATGTAGCACGCATATTAAGTAGCTATTCCGTTGCTTGACGCGTGTGTCATCGGCAGGAAAAAGCGCTTTGTCGTCATATCCGTGCCACTTGCTCGTAGGAGACAAATCCGTCCTCTCGTCGCGATTATTTCATTTATACGCGTGTGACATTTTGTCGAAGCGCGTAAGGTTATATCGACAAGATGCATTCTGCATGCTGTCTGCGTTCAGTTATGCTCATACATTTAGAGCACGTTGTATAAAGGAACGTATCTGTCTCCTTCGACAAATTATTAACGGCAAATATAATACACAGCAATAATTTGGTAAATGTTACGTTTT